AGTGGATTTTATAGCAAGTCTATCAGTATCTCTGAAAATTTTTTGCTACAAAATTCACAGAGAGATATTTAATCTTTATTTGGGATGACTATGTGATCCTTATGGTTCTCCTTATCTTTTATGATTTGTAATAAATTATTTAACAAAATAAATTAAGTTGTTCATTCAATATGTCTCACCTTTATGAAACATACAGTTTGGATATGAGTGTTATTAGATTCTTTTAACTCTTTAGCTTAAATTTTTGGATATTATTCAATATTGGATAGATCTATATTATTTTGTTAAAATACAATCCATATGTGTACAAAATATGTTTAAAATAATTTTCAAATTATATTTTATAGTTTTCTAACATACAGTTTGGATATGAGTGTTATTAGATTCTTTTAACTCTTTAGCTTAAATTTTTGGATATTATTTAATATTGGATAGATCTATATTATTTTGTTAAAATACAATCCATATGTGTACAAAATATGTTTAAATCATTCTCAGATTATATAATATAATTTTCTAAAATTAGAGAGTAATCGTTTTGACAAATTAATTAATTAGTTGAGAAGATGTAGGAAGATTATAATATCAGATTTTGAAATTGATCACATAATTTATATTTTCTTTCTTGATTAAATTTGCACATTCTAACTTTAAAAATTCTAGAAATTTTTTTTGAATATCTATAATACTCGATTGCCAGATTATAGAAAGTAAAAGTAGACAATAGGTATGAGTGATTTCTTTATAATTAAACAAAATCCTTTATGACCAGATAAAACGTACCATTTTACATTGATGAATTCAAGATTTATTATTCTATTAATAATAATAGTTTTTTAGATATTGATGCTTACATCATTAATATTTTAAAATTAGAATTCTAAATTATTAAATTGTTCTTAGATTATTAATATTCTAAGACTTTAAACCTCACTAATTATGTGGAAGGTAAAGTGTTGAAACCAACAAGATTTTATATATTGAAATATTTGAAACTTTTTAATATATTATGATAATCATAAACTTTTTATAATTATGTTATAGTAAATACATAAACTAAAAATTAACAATTATAATATTTGACCTTGTGCATTGCGCGTGCATTCCACCTAGTTAATTTAAACATATGAACGTCTTAAACACATGAATATTAACTTAATTAGCATCCGATGCTTGAAAACAAATACATATATATTAGACAGAGAGCACAAAGCAGAGAGCAAAATTGATGAGAGATGAATTACAGAAATGGGATGTCAATTTGCAGAAAACAGTCATAGAATTGAATGAATAGACAAACTGATTGTATGCAACAGAAAGGAAACATTTAAAACTTGGAGATTAGGAAAATTAAAAATTAGGCAAACAAAATAAATGAAAAAACACAATATTACATATTGATTATTTGAAACAGAAACAATATAATTAGACTATTGTTCTAGATTGTTAGAAAAAATCACTGCAAATAGTCAGAAAGAATTCGAAAAACAGGTTGGAAACGTAGGCCTGAGAAAGGGGTAATCGTGTGATCACTGACCAAGAACAATAGTCGCTGCCTTCACAGAGGCGATTCAATGCGACCACGCCTAGCGATAAGAACCTCCCAAGAAGGCCGGCACCAAAGTTTACTGTGAACTTTGGTCTCTTGTTCAGTGGATGTTTGCCCGACAAATTAAAACTAGAAATCAAAATCTTGTAGAGACTTATGAGAGAGAATAGAGATTGCTCACTTTTTCGTATACTTCAGACTTCCCTAAGATCCCTTTTAATAGCCTTGTGAATTTTCCGTTGAGTGAACGCTCGTTGATGAGGCCGGAGAGAACGCCGACGTTGCCGCCATATGGGGAAGAATCTTCTGCTCCGAGGAAAAAAGAGAAAAAAGAGAGCGGAGGAATCGGATACTAAGAAGGGGAAAGCGTTATACAGAGAAGAGAAGAGAAGAGGATAAGGAAAGAAATAAACATTATGCAAATGTACCCCTCAAAATACCATATTTGCATAAGAATTAAGTAAAAGAATAAATTTTATTCAGTTTTTTTTTTTTAAATATACATTGTTTGCACGCCGAATAAAGAAGTTTTTTCAACTTACTTTTTTCCGAACCCATGAATGATAGTAAAAATGTATACCTTCGCATGCATGCATTAGCGGAGCTCGTGATTTGTATTTAATGTTTAATATTAAATAGTAAGATATACACTTTTACTATCATTCATGGGGTTGGAGAAAAGTAAGCTAAAAAAACCTTCTTTATTCGGCAAACATATTAATATTATACAATGTATAATTGTATATTTTCAGGCTTTCAGCAAACATTGTATAATTTGTAATCTTCTCTGATATGATATGATGCAATTTCAGCAAGTTCAAAGAAAATATAATTTGCATCATATCAGATAAAATATACAATGTTTGCTGAAATATATAATTAAGTAATTTCTGATATGATATGATATGATATGATATGATATAATTAAGTACATACACCAATGAGAAAATATACAATGTTTGCTGAAATATATAATTTGCGTCATTACAGAGAAGGTTCGATTTGGTATGATATCCTTCATTCAGCTTCGTTATTTCCTGTTAATTGTCAATAATTTGTTGAAAAGTTTAAGTTATATTAATAATATATATAATAGCTTTTAGTGACCAAGTATTATTATATATACTATTATTATTATAATAATACTATTCTAAAAGTGTGAAGAATGTAAAAAATTGTCTTTCAAAAATGTCCTCAAATGAGCATACAATTGTTAATGTGGCATTCATATTCCTATGGGCATCAATGTAATTTGTTTCTTTGAATGATATGAAACACGTATATGAACATGTATGCATACATAATATGATGAAGACTATAATAATGCAATGAATACATTATTATTATTATTATAAGTGTGTTAGGTTGGGGTGGATACCAACCTCCGGCGGCGGAGGAGCTCCGACGAGCTCCAGGATGACGCAAGCGAGCTCCGGTAGTCACAGGCGAAGCCACAGGCGGCGAGGTCCAGGCGATCTTCGGCAGCACAGGCGAGCTCTGCGTTCGCCTCCCCCGAGCTCTGCGTTCGCCTTCCCCGAGCTCTGCGTTCTTTTTGGCGAACCCGACCTTTGCGTCAGGGTTATTCGCTGGCGACAGGCTGTCGCCAGCCCCTCATCTCCGCCTATATAAAACCCCAACCTAGGGTTTTGGAAACTGTAGCGCTTCTCCCCCTCTCCTCCGATCTTTCTTCTCTGGCGGTGGCGAAAGCGCCCAAATCACAGCAGCGATTTAATCTCCAGCTTTCATTGTGTTTGAAGGGGGATTATAGTAGAGAGAGAGAGAATTAAAGAGGGGGTTTATATTGGGGTTATTCATTTATTCTCAAGTGAGAATTGAAAGGGTTCATACCCTTTAATTATTAACACTGTAGCTACAGTGTTTATTTGAGAAATAAATCTTGTGTACTGTTCTCTATTCTGCGTTTCTGTTGCATTAGGGATTTCGGCGTTAAATTCCCAACAACTGGTATCAGAGCGTGAAACGATCTAGAGGAAGTCAGATTCAAGTGGGAGCCATGGCCGCAGATGAGGCAAAAATGGGACTTGAGAAATTTGATGGAACAGATTTTGGATTCTGGAAAATGCAGATAGAGGATTATCTGTATCAAAAAAATTTGTATCAACCACTATCGGGGAAGAAGCCAGATTCTATGAAGTCAGATGAGTGGAACCTTCTAGATAGACAAGCCCTCGGAGTTATCAGATTGACGTTGACTCGCAATGTTGCGTTCAACATAGCGAAGGAGAAGACCACGGCGGGTCTTATGGCAGCTCTCTCAAATATGTATAAGAAGCCATCAGCCGAAGAGTGGAACCTTCTAGATAGACAAGCCCTCGGAGTTATCAGATTGACGTTGACTCGCAATGTTGCGTTCAACATAGCGAAGGAGAAGACCACGGCAGGTCTTATGCCAGCTCTCTCAAATATGTATGAGAAGCCATCAGCCGCAAATAAAGTTCATTTAATGCGGCAGTTATTCAATCTGAAAATGGCGGAAGGCGCGTCAGTAGCACAACACCTCAATGAACTTAATACGGTTACAACCCAATTGAGTTCAGTTGAGATTGAGTTTGATGAGGAAGTTCGGGCGTTGATACTTTTGTCTTCCCTACCAGAGAGTTGGAACGCTACAGTCACGGCAGTGAGTAGCTCATCGGGAAAGAAAAAGTTGAAGTTCGGCGACGTTCGTGATTTGGTTCTCAGTGAGGAGATCCGACGGCGAGAGACTGGTGAAGCTACAACCTCTTCAGTATTGCATACAGAGTCAAGAGGTAGAAATTCAACCAGAGGAAACGGACGAGGAAAATCAAACTACAGAGGTAGATCAAAGGACAGGAGGTTCAAATCAAGGAATCCAAGCAACAGCTCGAAGGCTATCGAGTGTTGGAATTGTGGAAAGACCGGGCATTACAAGAATCAGTGCAAGAGTGCACAGAAAGAGAAGGAGGCGAAGGCAGAGGTGAATGTCACTTCCACTTCAGGAGGAGACGACGCATTGATATGCTCTTTGGAGAGCAAGGAGGAATCTTGGGTGTTAGATTCAGGAGCGTCGTTCCATGCTACCTCTCAGAAAGAATTCTTCGAGAAGTATACCCCCGAAAAACTTGGATACGTATATCTTGGTGATGATCAACCGTGTGCTATAGTGGGCAAAGGCGTGGTAAAAATTAAGTTGAACGGGTCAGTATGGGAGCTGAAGGATGTCAGGCATATTCCCGACCTGAGAAAGAATTTAATATCCGTAGGCCAGTTGGCTGGCGAAGGATATACCACGAACTTCCACAGAGATGATTGGAAGATCTCAAAGGGCGCAATGACGATTGCCCGAGGCAGGAAGACTGGTACCCTATATATGACAGCAGGTGCACGTTGTTCGATCTTAGTTGCAGCAGGCAATGAGACTTCAAAGCTGTGGCACCAGAGACTCGGTCATATGAGTGAAAAGGGGATGAAGATTATGCACACAAAGGGAAAACTCCCAGGACTGCAGTCAGTGGAGATGGATATGTGTGAAGAATGTATACTTGGAAAGCAGAAGAGAGTCAGCTTTCAGACAAGTGGCAGAACCCCCAGGAAGCAGAAGCTAGAGCTCGTTCACTCAGATGTTTGGGCACCAACAACCACCGCATCCATTGGTGGAAAACACTACTTCGTGACTTTTATCGATGATCACTCTCGGAAAGTGTGGGTCTACTTTCTGAAGCATAAGTCAGAAGTATTTGAAGCTTTCAGGAGATGGAAAGCTATGGTCGAGAATGAGACCGGTCTGAGAATAAAGAAGCTCAGGACCGACAATGGCGGTGAGTATGAAGACACCGGATTCAAGAAGTTCTGCTATGAGCACGGGATCAGAATGGAGAGAACCGTGCCCGGCACGCCTTAGCAAAATGGTGTAGCTGAGCGAATGAACCGAACGTTGACAGAGAGAGCCAGAAGCATTCGAGTACAATCAGGCCTACCGAAGCAGTTCTGGGCAGAAGCGGTCAACACAGCAGCTTACTTGATCAACCGAGGTCCATCGGTTCCATTGGAGCACAGAATACCAGAGGAGGTATGGTGCGGAAAGGAGGTAAAACTCTCACATCTTAAAGTTTTCGGTTGTGTAGCTTACGTGCATATTAGTGATCAAGGCAGGAATAAGCTTGATCCCAAGTCAAAGAAATGCACTTTCATCGGCTATGGTGAAGATGAGTTCGGCTACCGCATTTGGGACAACGAAAACAAGAAGGTGATCCGGAGCAGAGATGTGATATTCAACGAGAAGGTGATGTACAAGGACATGCACAAGACTGACGACTCAGAGAGCGAGTCCACATTTATAGATGCAGATGATGTCCCGAGTAACCTCTCGGAAGAACCCAATGCAGAGGGTCCTCAGCAAGAAGAGCCTGTTGGACAAGATGGTGCGCAGGAGCCCGACGCACCAGCTCCGATATTAAGAAGATCTTCTCGTCCTCCTGTACCCAACAGGAGATACATGAACTATCTGTTGTTGACAGATGGTGGGGAGCCTGAAAGCTTTGATGAAGCTTGTCAGTGTGGAGATGCGAGCAAGTGGGAGCTTGCAATGAAAGATGAGATGAAGTCTCTCATATCAAACCAGACGTGGGAACTAGCTGAGTTGCCCACGGGTAAGAAGGCACTCCACAACAAATGGGTGTACCGGGTGAAAGAGGAGCAGGATGGTTCCAGAAGATATAAAGCCCGGCTAGTTGTCAAAGGTTTCCAGCAGAAGGAAGGAATTGACTACACCGATATTTTCGCTCCCGTGGTGAAGCTAAATACTATCAGGACCGTGATGAGTATTGTAGCAATTGAAGATCTTCATCTCGAGCAGTTAGACGTGAAGACGGCGTTTCTTCACGGAGATCTAGAAGAGGAGATATACATGCACCAGCCAGAAGGTTTCTCAGAAGAAAAGAAGAAGAACCTGGTGTGCAGACTCAAGAAGAGCTTGTATGGCCTGAAACAAGCCCCAAGGCAGTGGTACAAGAAGTTTGACAGCTTCATGCACAAGGAAGGTTTCCAGAAGTGCAACGCCGACCACTGTTGCTACTTCAAAAGATAGCAGTCCAGCTATATCATCCTACTGCTGTATGTTGATGATATGTTGGTTGCAGGAGCAGATATGAAAGATATCAAGAGTTTGAAGCAGCAGCTGTCAAAGGAGTTTGACATGAAGGATTTGGGTCCAGCGAAGAAGATCCTTGGAATGCAAATCACGAGAGATAAGAAGAGAGGTCTCTTGCAGTTATCTCAGACGGAGTACATCAACCGTGTTTTGCAGAGATTTAACATGGGCAACGCCAAGCCTGTGAGCACACCCTTGGCCAGCCATTTTCGTCTGTCAAAGG